ACCATGTTTATTGTCATGATTTTATGTCATTTTAGAAGCATGATTTTGGGAAAAGGTAGAAGTGTGGCTGTCGATCATTAGATTGGACGTATGAATTTACCACCAAAAAATGTACTTCTTTTGGATCATAATAAACTATAAAATTGAGCATACTTGTCGGTAATTACTGGACGGTGGTAATAGAAATTAACAAGGATGGTGCTAGATTATCGTTCTTTTACGTGTTGTTGAGAAGATGAAAAATGAATTTGATGTAAACAGAGGCTTACAGCTAAAGACTTTTTTTTTAACACTCTTATTCATGTAAGACGATGTTTGTCTTCTTCTTTTTACAACTAACACAAGAAAATAATTTCAGCAAATAAAACCTTATTATATTCGCAATGCATTTCACGATATAATTAAAATAAGAATATTCTATATTTCAACACATCTCAATAAAATTCTGGTTCAGCCGCTGATAGTGTGCATATTTTATATATTGAGAAAATGTTTCATGTTAATGATAAAGCAAAAATTTTGTTTCCAGATATATATTTACGTAGTTTGTTAAAATGATTACAAATTTGGCTACTAAAAGTAAGGACCTTGTCAACTTATTACCATTTCTATCAAAATGCAGATATACAGAACCTGATGAGTTCTTCTTCCATTTGAAAATGATAATTTGCTAATTAGAAGATAAACATGTAAGTGATGACGAGAGATAATAACTTGAAAGTTTCCAGCAAGACCTACAACTAACTTTTCAGATATTGATAGAATACAAATTTTCTGTTTGCAAAGTTAGAAACTTAGAATATACAAGTTTGTATTTTATAAAACATCCACGCTTTCATCTTCATATCCCCTCAACTAAATTAAACAAGGTAACGTTATACTCATAGGTGATATGAGAACACCTTAAAAGGTACGTAATCTTTTTAGAAGATTAACCTTAGGCCTAACTGATCAATCGAAAAATTTAATTTATGAGAGAAGAATTACCTAAGTTCATATAAGGAGACAAATAACACATACTTTAATCAATGTGGGACGCATTTAGGCCTGAATATTTAAAGGTCTAGACAATAATAATAAGAGAGTTCAACATTAGGTAAATAAAATTAAGGATGACTTGAATGTTTAAAACTTGGAAAATATAATATAAGTATTCAATGTAACATTCAGTGAATAAGATTATGGGTGAGAGGACCTTAAATTTTACTCGACTCCAAAATTTGGCTCATAAGACAAAAAATTATCCACGACTATATAAGGTCTTATATACATCAATTAACCAATGTGGAACGCATTCACAATAGGTCAAAACACCCTTAAACCACATCGGAATATGCTATTAAATTGATAATGATTTATAATTCAGATGTCAACCCTAATGAATTCGGAAGCGAAAAAACATTAGAATTTTAAAATAAAAAGTCAACCCTACGTAAACAATTATTATATATGTAATTTTGTCTACATTTAGGTCTAAACCTGTCACCAAACAACCAAAAGGGAGCAACTTCTTTCAGTCCAACCTATTGCCAGCCTAACATATATACACTTGTCTATGCCCCCCATGCCTTTTTTTGGTTAAAAGAATCTGTATACTTCTGGTCCTTTTGTTTTGTTCATAGACAAAGGCAAAGATAACCAATTTTCAAGCTCTGTTCTCTGTGTATTTCAGTTTCACATAAATAACATGCATGTGATACCATTAATAATGTGACAGATGGATGAACTAAAAACTAGCATCATTTGGATGGAACAAAGGCTTCTGAATATCTATCAAAGTTTTGGTAAACAGAAAACTAAGTAGCAATAATGATTCTGGTCCCTTGAGATGCAACTATCTACTCCATCTGTCTTTACGAGTAGTATTTGAAATTCTGTGGGCAAAGCAAGAATTGTTTTATGGCACCCCAACCCAAGCCAACCCTCTTTTTTCATTTTTTAAAAATGATTTACTAATTATTTCAGCATCTATATTGTCTGGTAGATGCAAATGTGTTTTATAACATGCCAATGATATGAGTAAAGCCAAAGCAACATTAGTATTTATATGCACGGACGGAGCTAGCCCTTCGTATACAGGTTCGGAACCAATAACTTTTGTCCAAGCCCTATATTTATTTTAAAAAATTATTGAATTATGTACAAATTATTAATTTAGCACTCAGTAACTTAAAAGAATTAGAGTACTGAACTCATAAGTTTCAAATCCTTACTTCGCTTCTATCTGTAGCTACGGCTAACGTTCCATGAGGTAATTGTATGATTTTTATAAGGTAAAATTAAAGCTCTGATCAATTAGAAACAAAAATAAATAAAAACATCAACAAAAGGGAATTATTTGCAGATGAAAAAAAGTCAAAGGGACTTCTAACTTTCCAAACAGATCCTTCATACATGAAGTTTTGAATGTCTTTAACCCCAAATAAATATTCAACATTACTGCAGAAACAACGACCTTCCTAGCTAGGATCTCCCTCTAGTTTACACCACCACAGAGATTTCAAAGTATTTGACTTTGAAAATGAATGTAGATTTCTCGGTCCTATTAAAGCATGACTATGACATTAATATTATTGACTTGTAGCTTTTTGTTTTCCAACTTCACTATTCTCAGCAACTGTAGATTGATTTTGGTCAATTACATGGTTTTAGAAATTCCAAGTGGGTCGACGTAACGAGGTGGTTTGACAAAGTCATGGATATATTAAAGGCTGTGGACAAGCTAGCTAATTAGCAGTTTGAAGCTCTGGATTCTGAAGAAAACCATACCATGTTCAAAAACAACAATAACAACATCTCAATTCGAAATAAGTTGGAGTTGGGTATATATATATTTCCTCACTGATATCCCTTCGAGACTATCTAGTAAAAAAATATAATTTCTCACTTATCATATTTCGCCGGTACTTAAATTTATATATCTATTTGTATAGTAAATATTCATCGCGCGCGTATTGGCTAGTACGTTAGTAATTGCAGCCTACTACAACATTCCTTTGCAATCCGGACTTGGAACGAAAATGTACAAGCTCATATAGGCGGAGTTAATCATACCATTTTCATTAGGACCAAAGGTATCTGTCGTGGTTGGGAGTTGGGATATGGAATCATATCATTTTCATTAAAATCATACCAATCTAAACATCAAATATTAGATTACATTCTTGTAGGCATTACTCTATTACAAACATTATAAAAAGTTATATATAGAGACTGGTTTAACTCCAAAGGCAACTAAGTTTTGTTTCTTCTAGTTGGCTATAGTGACTGCCTCCATGTTTTTTCCCCGTATATTTAATAACCAGTTCTAGCTTCTAAGCTCAAATGCATGTGAATATCTCCATTGAGTGACAGTGACTATAACTGCTGCAGTATAATTTACAGTTAATAGTTCTTATCCTGAATGCCTTGAAAGCTTTTCTGAATCTTTCCCTTTGAAATCTCATGGATTTATTCTTTCATTTCTCTGTCTTCCTACTAGTTTGCCTTTCAATCAAAAATATATAGATTATCCATCTTAGCTGCTCCACCATGTTTGTTTAGTGAGATATAGGAAGAAAGAAAACCAGTACATAGCTGAATCCAAGACGAAATCTCTTTTATTCACCATATTTAATGCTCCCTCTCCCTCGAGGCAGGGGCGGATGCAGCATATATTTACCAGGTTCAATTGGACCCAGTACTTTCGACGCAGAACATAAATTTAAATGTAAAAATTACCAAATTTACGATAAATAGTAGATATGAACCTATAATTTTAAATTGTAATGGGTTCAATACTAAAAACTTTAAATATTGAACTCATAGAATTAAAATTCAAGATCTGCCTCTGCCTCGAGGTACTTTTGTTTGTTATTATCTTGCGAGTGAAAGTAAAAACTAGCTTAGTCTAAGGAATGCTTTTCCCTTGTTGTATTAAAGAAAATAGTTAACATTTTTTATCCCTCAACCATTGTAAGCTTCGGGCTTTCGGATATCGACTCCAGTTCATCATATCTCTGGTCCCGACTAACAGTCAGAAAACGTGTCCTTACATAAGATTCTGTGATGTAATACTTCTATAGCTTCTGTTTAACAAATAAAGTAGAAAACAAAAATATCGACTCAAACCTCTCGTCTATGCATTATTGGATCTTGGCCCACAATCCTCTCGCCAAAAATGTTCCGAATGCGTAAAGCATATCCAGCCAAGAAAGCTGAGGGGCCAAAACTTACATGTTCTACTGACTTGTGTTGCACAGAATTACCAATAAGGGGTCGTTTGGTAGGATATATAAGAATAGTGTGGAATAATATGTATTAGTAATGCAAGCATTAGTTATGCAAATATTATTTCATATTTATTGTTTGGTGTGGTGTATTAAAATTATAATGCATTGCATAATTTTTTTTAAAAAAAATAGTTGCTTACAAAAATTCCCTCCATATTCTCTAGCTTTAAGGGACTTTAAGGACAATTTTGTCTTTAACCATGCTAATGCATGCATTAAAGCCTTGGTATTACTAATGCCATAGTTTTCTATGCATTACTTATGCATAGGATAATACCAAGTATGATGTATAATCACAAGTTGGAAAAAGGTACCAAACAAGGTATTAGTAATGCATAGAGCTAGCTAATGCTTGCATTATTTTTTCTAATACCTCCTACCAAACGACCCCTTAGTGTAAACATTAGTACATCTTGTTCGCCGAAAATATCATTATTTTAGTTTCTAGCTTTGGTAGTGAAATTATGCATAGTTTCACTTGTACAACACTAGTCATGAACGACCAAGGAAAACAAAAGAAAAAACAAATAATAATGCTCCTACTAAACAAGTTCCATTAAGCAACCCCTGTAAGAAAATGATCCTTATACAACCGATCGCATTGGTCTAGGAATTGGATTTCTTATAAACCAATATATGCAGCGCCTTCGACATAGAACTGAAAAGCTGCAGATATAACATATTCAATTCCTTCATGAAACTAGAGATATAATATAGTCAAACATGCTATCAAGAAACAATAAAGCTTCTGCAAAGCAGACTTCGAACTGAATCCACATTCAACTGATAAAGCCAGTATCAATTTAACCTGAGAAATGCTTATTGCTTTACAACATCATATAAGGGTACAATACCTCTCCAAATGGTACAGTTTGCCTCCAGGAAAAAGCAAAAAGAATAGTTTCAATAAGATAAGAGGAAAAGGAAGATCAACATAAAACACAACTGTGATACGTCTTGAAGCACATGGCAAACCTATGGTCGTGACTGCGCCAAAAACATGTCAGCCTTTTTACTCCGGAAACCTCAAAGTCAAAAGCTCAAGTGGCTTCAACTATTCCTTACCAGTCGAAACCATTTTCACATAAACTTTTCCATGTGCAACTGCTACGCAAAATACCAGGCTCATACGACAATTAGCTCCTCGCAAATTGTATTTTCAATTGTAAATTTTTCCAACAAATAAATTTGTAGCTTTCCAGCACCACAGATCTAGTTCAATCAACAAAGACTCTACAACAAGGCCTAAATAGACTTCCAACACATACACATGTCCATGTACTTTACCCAAGCAAATCCTTGAATAAGTTGGGATTCTGACTCGTTGGTGTCACACCCATTTGCCTCACAAGTGCATCTTTTTCCAAAGCATCTTTCAGATTCGGGCCCTTACTTAATTGTGTTGAATTTGTAACTGTACTTCCTGTTCCATGGCCATTTCTGTCGGGTGCATGTGAAAATTCAGCGGTTGAAAGGAGATTTTCCGTTCCCATCATATTTTGCCCACGGAAGGAAGTCTCCCCATAAAGAGACATAAAATCAGGCGCTTTAGTAGCACTATCTCCGCTAGAACCTGGAGCTGGACTACCTTCGTTTAAGTCAAGCAAGCCTTCCAATTGCTTAAACGGATCCACAGAAGTTGCACTACTAATACTAGTTGGTTCGCCCAAGTCAAGCAAGTCTGGAGGTGGTTGGGGACTTGCTTTTGCAGCACCTCCATCAGAAGGTCCAGTCTTTTCTGCATGAGACTTGTCTGCAGTATGGCTGTTTGGCCTTGATGCCTTGTGCCCAGCACCAGCAGGTCTTTTTTCAGATTTTGATGCGCCCCCAAAGAGGGAAGCAGCAAGTTTTTGCTTTTCCGGATTAATATCCTCTTGTTGCCTTCTTGATTCATAAGATACATCACGTGTTTTTGAGCTTAAGCTGCTTGGTACATCACGCTGTGTCGCTCCATTCTGAGTCTTGTAGGTATCAAAGTCTGAAGTAGATGGTGAGGAAGAAGAATAAGTTTGCTTACCCCACTTTCTTTGAACACCATCAAGTCGTAGCTTGATTTCAGATGAGCCTGTACCAGATGCGGACAACTTTGGTGCAACAGCTTCATGAAACTCTGTGTGATAAGTTGGTTCTGGTACAGGAACAAGTTCGGTTGAGAATACTGGTGGGACTGGAGAAGGTCTTGATGGCACAGAGGGTTTAGGAAGCTCGTAGGCTTCAAATCTAAGAGAATGTCCTGAGGATCCATGCTGTTCTTCATGTCTAAAACTACTGATAGTTAAAGCTCCTGATTGTGCATTCTCAGGAATATAGGGTTGAGCCCCCTTATTCAGTGACTCTTGAACATAACCATTGAGAAAAGATAGTTCTCTATCAACCTGCAGAAAATTTTCATATTAGTTGCACCCGGTTTAAACAAAAAACAAAGATAGAAAAAGAAAAATTTGAGTCCTGTGACAGAGAGTAGACTGAATCATATCTTTCCAGTAACAAAAATAGGTCAAAACATCAAATCTACAAGGACATTCACCTTAACCTTTTTCACTATCATCACCCGAGAAAATAAGTTGGTAATATGAAACCCGCAACACGAAATATCACCACCCTAACATTTTCATTCTCATCCCCAGAAAAGCAGCTAAGGGATAGGTATGAAGCACCAAGATGAAGGCGGCAATTTCAAACAATATGTCTCACACAGGATAGCAAGAGAGGACGGAGCCATCTCCACAAATTTTCCAAAAAAATAAGCATGCCGACTTTTTCCAAAACTTCCCGATACATTAGTGATATAAGGTCTAGTATGAACAGATAGAACCGTGGTTTTTCAAAACAGTCAAAATAAGCTTCTTTTCTTTTCTTTTGGATTTTTTTTTTTTTTTTTT